AAACCCACCACTGCCTCGCACATACGTGCCAGTCGTTCCCGACTCTAAGGGGCGGTGCTCATTTCCCTTTCAAAGCCTAGGAGCCAGCACTGTCCAAAGACATCTCTGTGCTCATGTGGCCGGCATGACTAAAGCATGGAACACTGTTACCTTCCTACCAAAGATGGTTCCTATTTTTCTACTTGCAGATTTTACATGCTTTTGAACTGCTAGGTTGGCAGAAGCTGGGACAAGTAACCGGAGCTCACCCTGTTATGCAGGGCAACCACTGAACTGCTGAGCTTTCTGCTCGACAATCTCTTGCGTCTTAGCCACTCAGCCACCGTGTCCCTTCGGGGAGCACTAAGGACCCCTCAAATAACCACAATGTTGCTCATTTCGCTTTGACTTCATAAATGGATACCGCTCCAGTTGTGATTTGTGTAATGACCCAAAAATAAACAACCAACGGTATCTGCAGGTGGGTAAATCTGGCCTTCAACGCCTGACCTCCACGTTTCGACGTTTAGCGCTCTCGCCTTCGTTAACGGACAAGCGGCCTAAAGCCACCCAAGCCCAGCTGCGCTGGCAGAGCAACGGCGTCAATCTCGGAACACGCTAAGGAAATGTTTCGCTAGGAATTGTGGGTTTGGTAGTCCAACCAATGTCAAAAATACCGAGTCGGGGGAAAATGGAGCGCGCCTCTACTGACCGCTCCCCACCCAACACATCTGCTTTGACCAATGATACCACAGTTCCCAGAATGCACCAAGAAGGGCTTGTTTTCATGAAGCATGACTATGGCAACAATGTGCCTTTTCAACAAGGGGCGGCAGTTACGGCGCTTTCCGGTCTAGTCGTCAGAGAAGTCTGACGCAGGCAATCCGAAGATACAGTGAGACGTTCTAGCGTACTCAAATGTCGTTCTCTATGATGTTCTGTCAAAAGCTTCCGTTCTATTTACTCGGTGTAATGTCATAGAGATAGAGCACAATAAACTTGTACGAAACTGTACTCAAAATTTCTTACTGTAAGCATATCTTTCTTTAGCCCTGAGGTTGTGAAGGGTCTATCTTCCTTCCCGCGACAGACAGAAAATCCACTGTCCTGCCTGCCTCAGCCCGTCCCCTCAGTTAGAACTTCGGGCCCTGTCATCACTCTCTAGGTAAAGCCTGTCCATCTCAGTGATTCGGAGGAGGAAGTTGGGAGCAAGTTTCGCACCGCTCCCAGAGGGCGTTCCGTCTATAACTTCCGAAGCTCTATTGTTTCCAGAACGGCCCTCTCGACGGTTTCTTCTCTATGGCTCCGGGCTGCCGGAGCCGGAGGGCGGCAGGAAGACTGAGCCTTTGAACGGGACCGGGCGGGGGGCGGGGCAACCGAGCGGGAACCGATGGAGGCCGAGATGGAGGCAGAGACGTTGGAGTCCAGGATCAGTAAGTTGGGGGAAGACCGGCCGGGTTTATCCCTAGCAGTTATAGCAGGTGCTTCGGGCCTGCTTTGGAAGAGGGCTCTTCTTCGCGTGACCCGCTCGCCGTCACATGCTCTGCGGTTCCCCTTTTTCATCCTGGGGGGTCACAGCTTGCGAGGGAAACGCTGCCACGTTTTGCCTCTTCGCTGGGTCATCCGAGCGAGGAAGAGACTTGCCCTCCATCCTAGTATGGGGGGGGGTCTCCTGCGTGAGTGGGGGTTGGACTAGATGACCTCTAAGTTCCCTTCCAATTCTGTTACTATTAACCGTCCTTTACCCCTGGAGGGTTTTTTTTTTCCCCTGTCTGTCCCAAGCTAAGTTTCCCACTCACTGACTGCCAGACGTTAGGGGTCTGTTACTGTGCCCAGGAATGAAGCTTGCAACCTGGTGTAGTCAAATCAGACAGTTGAAATCCCCAGAAAGTGTTACTGGTTTAATCACGTAATATGGACAAGTAAATATATTGCTGGTACCAAATAACATTGATTTTNTGGGTTCCGGTACGTCAGCTAGCTGGTCTTCAAATGCACGGGAGCGCCAGAAACTGGAACAGCAGCCACACATGTGCACCAGGAAAGTGATCTTCCGGTTTTCGTGACGCACATGTGCGCTGGCCACCTGGTCGTCTGGTTTCTGGCATGCATGTGGATGCAAAGACCAGCTGGCCAGTGCTCATGCACTCGCCGGAAACCAGAAGATCATCTTCCCAGTGCACACATGCACACTGAGCAGCTGCTCTTCTGGCTTCCAGCATGCAAGCATGTGTGCGCACGATTCTGTTTCGGCACTCAGTGCTGAAAAGGTTTGCCAACACTGGAATAGCCTATTTCTCAAACTACAGCCAGTGCCTTTAAGGACACCGGGCACTCATGTTTCCTTTTCTAATGACTTCAGAAATTGCTCATAAACTGTTTTTCAGTATTAGGAACTGTTGGATCAATAAATTTTATAGCACCAGGTGCGATAAAAGTTTTAAAACAAATTTAGGGAGTTTAAAAAATTATTTTGAAACAAACAGCAAAAAGATGATTAGAGAGTTGCTTTTGGAAAGTTACAAATGAACTAAGGATCGAGGTGGATCTGAAGTAAAGTTTTAAAATTAATCATAAGAATTCCCCCTGTGGGAAAATTGTTTGGAATTCTATTTGAAAAATATGATAGGATCAGACTTGGAAGGTTGGACACCAGAAGGACCTGGAGGAACTAAGGATTACAATTAAGGGAGAAGTCTGTAACCATTGGAAGATACTGAGATTTCTTGAACTCCTCTACCGATTTTAGGAACTAGCTCATTCACTTGATTGCTTTTGGCATTTTCTTATTGAGTAACAACACAAACTTAAATTTGCCTCACTAATACAGAATGAATGAAGCAAAATATTTTAACATTGGACTTATTAAAAGTTTTTTTAAGCGTTTTTCTGAAGTGTTAAAAATGGACATTGTCTATCTTAAAAGCATTTCATTATCTATGGAAAGTTTTTACTTTAATACCTTTTGGTATGTTTCTTAATTTTTATTTATATTTGATGCATCTACTATTGTCTATGTTTTTACTTTTATAAGCTGCTTTGGTTGAAGTGGCAAACTGCAACTTTGTCATGAATAAATAAACAGACTGTAATATGAAATCATTTCTACTAAGCTACCCAGAATGGGAATAAGACGACTACTAGTAAGTACTAGTATTGATGATGCTACCTAGTTGGGGTAATGAAACGTAAGCTCTAAAGCACTAAAGGTAAAGGTCCCCTCGCACCAGGGGTGGGTTCCTGCCAGTTCTAACCTCTTCTATAGAAGAGGTTCCACAAATCTACAATGCTGTTTAGAACCGGTTCCAGCTCCCTCTCCCTGCCCGTCCGCACATCATCAAGATGAAGAGCGAGAGGAGTTCTGGGAGTTGAAGTCCACAAGTCTTAAATCTGTCAGGTTTGAACTCCCCTGGGGGTTTTTTCTAAAGGGTTAGGGGTGCAAGGGTCTTGGAACTTAACAGCTTTAAGACTTGTGGACTTCAAATACCAGAGTTTCT